TTGTCAAGATTTTACAGTAATTTTGCTGCGTTCCAGTGCATTTCTTTAGCTTAAAATGGGCTTTCAGGTGCAGTCCAGTGCATTCCAGTGTGTTTGCATGTGTTTATCATGCATTTATATGCCTTCCAGTGCATTCCAGACCCGAGAAAATGAGACGAGCAGTATTTTTTTTTGTCTGGCCCAGAATGGACTGCACTGGGGTGAACAGAGCCCAAAAATACCATAGGGATACATTGGGATGCTTTTTTGGTCCGGGAACAAACTGTTCTGTTCTGGACATGATCCGGACATGGCGTTAACAAACCCTTGGTTCCTTTCCCTTGCAGGGTCCTATGGATCGACCCTTGTGTGTGCTAGTAAGCTGTTTGTGTCTTCACAAACACACAGACACAGCACGGCAAGACACGGCCCTGCTCCCTACTTCTCCCTCCTCCTTGCCTCCTTCCCCATTGCCAGTAGATGAACAGCTGCTGGAGAATGTGCTGTCCCTTGTGATCTTGTACTAGACTGGAAGTTCAGGGAAGCTGAGCTAAGAGAGTTGGAGCTGTTTGGCAAGATGATGACTGTACGTGCTTAAGCAAAAATATAAAGAAATACTTTGCTGAACAATGTATATTTGTTTCATCAGGGTTCATAATTGAAAAAAAAACTCTTAGAGTCTAATATTACTTTAAGTAGACACAAAACTCAGGAGTTAAATCTTCATTCAAGTACTTTAACTATTAACAGAAATGTATCTTATTTGTGTATCACTCGGCTGTAGATCCTCAAATCATCTCTGAATTGGTGCTGACACTGTCCTTCCTTCTGGAGGGTGGCTACTTTTGTTCTCCATGGTCCCTGTGTGTTGTAGAGTAGTCACTACTCCAAGCTCACTACCATGATGGACTACAATCTCAATAAAAATTAGGAAACTAAACATGAGTTTGTAGTCCATCAAAGGAGTGAGGTTGGAGAGGTGGCTACTTTACAACACACCCAGGGACCATGGGGAACAAAAGTATCCACCCTCCAGAAGGAAGGACAGTGTCAGCACCAATTCAGAGATGATTTGAGGATCTACAGCCGAGTGATACACAAATAAGATACATTTTTGTTAATAGTTAAGGTACTTGAATGTATTTTTAAGATTCAACTCCTGAGCTTAGTGTCACTTTAAATTAACTTACAAATACATGACTGCTGCATTTGAAATACATTACATCTGGCACGGGTCGGATGAATTGTATTTCTCTAGTAAACCATCCTGGAAAATCTCTGTCATTCTATGTCAGGATGACTGGAAGAGCTCAGTAAGCTCAACAAAGTGCAGGGAAGCCCGGGGTTTTGTGACATTTTAGATGCCTAGTACTGCAGATGTACACTTGAATGTTTACAGCTCAGGCCTCACCTATTACCTTGTTCACACCTAAGCAAAGCGGGAATAGCATTCATGTTCACTTGAGTTTGTTTCCTGCGTTTGCTGCGCATCACCCCTTTTTTTAAAATGGGTTCATGCACGCACAACAAACACAGGAAAGTAGCTCATCTAGCAAATTCTGCTACAGGCGTCCCATGTTTTTTTCCCCAGCGCATTTTAATGTACACAAATGTGTGGAAAAACCTCCTAGCCTCATTTGGGATGCCATTAATTATCAATGGCAATGAATGCATGTTGCAGGTTTTTGCGTCAAAGCGCACATACTTTACTGGAATTGGCACTCGTTCTTGGGACGCCTAGGTGTGAGCCTGGACTAAAGTGAGGTGCATTTATCATATGTAGTGGTATCCTTCTTAGTGCATCATGCTGGCAGAGCAACTGAACTTGGCTTGTTCATGTGTTCTGGACCCTGGAATATATTTTCCATGTTTCTGTCAGTTTTCAATCAGCATTTGATCAGGTTTTCTATTAGTTAGTCCCGGAATTTAATTTGCTGCAGATATCAAATGTATTTCATTAGTTACAAAAGTCGCTTAAAGGAGAACTATGGGGTCAGGGCTTTTCCCCATAGTTCTCCTAAGGGTAACGGGAGGACACAAACTAGCGTCCTCCCGTCACCCTAAGCTCAGTATACTGAGACGCCACAGCCGGGACGGATCCCGACATTACTGTTTACTTGTTATTTGACAAGCCCTTTCAGCCTCACTGCACCTCAGCTCTGGCAGTCTAAGGCCCTGTGAGGCATCACATCCAATACAATGTATAAAACATGAGGACACTGAGGGGCATACCATTGCCAGAACGGCGTAGAAGCCACCCGGGATCACGGTTCGGGTGAGTATAACTTTGTTATGTTTGCACCTAGACAAAATGAGCTCTTAACTCTTGCAGTGCGGGATTAGCACCACTTTAAAGGTTAGAATTTGATATTGCCTGCTTTACTTTTGAGCTTTGCTTTATTTTCCTTTTAAATCTTTATTTTCTTTGTCTAGGGACAGGGCCACTGTAATAGAAGAAGAAATAGTGTCATAAAACAGGGGGGATGTCTGGCGCTTGGGAGGTTTGGAATTGGGGTGTAATTAGTGCACGCAGAATGAGACGGTGACATCACTGTTGAAAACAGCTGTCCCTGTTGGAGCACACATGGCTGCGTCTTTTGTTATGTAGTCATCTCCCTCTGCCGGGGAAGTCAGGACTGTCACAGACAGCAGACACTTTCCATACAACACACATGTGCAGATTACTTTACCAACAGGAACCTGCTGAGTTCCGCACACATTAGGGATGGATCAGTAATTACAATTAGGATGCTGATAATAGGTTTTGTATTGATGAAGTTGTCCTGAATTTGTCATCTTCATGAAATATTGTTTCACTACATTCATGTCAGATACCAAATTCCATTTTCTTTTCACCATCCCTACAGACATTAGCGCATCTGATGATTACAGACAGTCATGTGTATGTATTGTGCAGTATCACTGATAACCAGATGGGACTTCCATTAGAAATGAAAGATGGCTTTAGGAAAAGAAGATAAATACTGATGCAGAGGGAAAAGCTCTAATAAACGAATATAGAAAATAAATACATTCATAGATAATAAAGAGGTAAAATTACGGAAAATTGTTTATCATACTTATCGTAATTTTCCTTTCCTGGCTCCTCCTCATGTCAGCCAGACGGAGTAGGCTGACATGAGGAGGACCAGGAAATATATATATATATGTATATATATA